ATAGAAATTGTGTTGTTTGCTGCTTGGAACAACTCCCCCTTAGACTTTGCTGCAAAGCAAAGTGCTTTTTTCCACTGAGATTATGTCACACCCTAAAAATTCAAAATTTATAAATTGTTGTTTAAATGGAATTTTTAGAATTTATTTTACAAGTCTTGAAAAGAAGATCTAATTTTAATAAATAAATTCCAATATAAAAAGGGGCCAGATAAAATTTCATTAAATACTTTGCTTAATTCTATAATTCCTAGATTTTTCTGGGATTTATTTGAGCTAAGGAAGTATTTTTAATAAATGGAATTGCATTTAAGAAATAATTTAAATTGAAAAAGGTTTTAAAAGTTTCTTTTGGCTTTGGGCTGAAAGTCGGCCCAAAACCGCTCTCTCTCTCTCCTCGGCCCAAGTCGGCCCAGTCCGCAGCCGCAGCCGCCCGCGCGCGAGCGCGTTGTCGCTGACAGGTGGGTCTCGCCTGTCAGGCCCGTCGTCTTCCTCGGGCCGAAACCCTAGCGCGCCGCCGCCGCCGTTCCCTTCCAAATCCGGCCGTTCCTTTCCTTCTCCGGCCGAATCAATAGAGGGGAAACGATCTCCGGGATCTCCTCCACCTTTTCTCCTTTGGAATCTTCGGCTAAATCGGTTTGGAAACCGATGGGTTCGAGGTCGACTCGGATCGGCTTTGAGCCCGATCTTTCCTTCTCGTCGCCGGTCGCCGTGGGCCTTCGCCGCCGCCTCCGAGCCCCTTTAAAAGGACCCCCGAGCTCTCCTCTACCCGTCGCTCCCTTCGCCTTCGCCTCTCGTCGTCGGAAGAGTCCTAGCGCCGTGCGCCCTAGCTCAGCCGTCGCCGCCGTCGCTCCAGCCGTGCGCCGCCGTCGTTCCAGCCGTCGCCGTCGCTCGGGAAGGCCACCGTCGGGATCGCCAAGTCGCCGCCGTCCTTGTCCGCTGCTTCGCCGTCGTCGGAGACTACTGGAGCATCGTCGCCGCCGTCAACCCGAAGAGCTCCGCCGCTTCTTCTTCGTCGCCGTCACCGTCCGTTGGGTTTCCGCCGTCGTTTTGGTCGCCGGTGAGTTCGCCGTGTCGTCCGCTTCGTCCTGGTGCCCTCCGTTTGCGTCCTCGTGCCGCCGTTCGCTGGTGAGCTTGCGCCGCCCGAGCCGTCCGAGCCGCCGAGCCGCCGCCGCCATAGATGACGTCATCGCTGACGTTATTGGGGCCGTCCGCCGTGAGCCGCCGTGGACCCGATTGATCTCGGCCGTCCGTTTTAGATGGATCGATCTCGGCCGTCCGTTCGCGTGAACCGCCGCCCGTGCGCCCGGTCCACCGCAAACCCTAGCCGCTGACGCAATAAATCCTCTTTTCCTTTTCAAAAACAATTCATTATTGCGTCATAATTCAATTAAAATCAGTTTAAGTGTTTTAATCCGATATAATCTTTAAAAATTCATAACTAATTCATCTTAGCTCCGATTTAGTTGGTTCAAGTCTCTAATTTTTTTCTAAAATTGAGATCTACATGTTAAAAATATCCACATGTACTGTTCATGCTTGTTTATGTGCTGTTTTGGTGATTTTGCTCTTTTCTGCTTAGATTCCGTCGTTTCCGGAGAGTCCGTTTTCGCCGGAGAAGAGTTTGAAGAGTTCCAAGGCCAGCAAGGCAAGTCACACAGATCCCAAACAACCCTTTGAGCATGTTGATCCTATTTAAAGCTATTGTTTCTATTCAACTATTGCATTTATTTTCGAATGTCATTGGGTGGAATCAACCTATTCTTTGTTATGGCCCTATTGTTCTTGTTTACCTTATTCCTTGATACCTTGGGTTAATATAATTTGACTGGTTGAACCTTATATATTGGATTGGTTCAACTAGATGTTAGATGTAATTGCTTAGCCCTGCTTAGAAACACTAGTTCACTTTTGGGATAACTTATGAATCATTATAATTTAATAATGGCTTAATGATAGTTCACGATGGTTAATCGTGATTGGTTAATTAATTACTTGCCAACTAAAATTTGATAATGGTGGGTTGTGAGCACATGGTTTTGAGAGTCGTGCTCATGACAATTAAGGACCGGTTCACGAGTTTCGGTTGTGAAACATTAATCGTGCCAACCACAAGCCAGCGTGGGCAACGGCTTTACCTTTTGTATAGCATGGTTCATTGCGGAGCACCAGACTGAGAAGTGGCGGAGATAAGCCCACGGGGGTCGCTGGGGAGTCCATTACCTCTGGTTTTGAGGGGGAGATTATGATCCAGGAACGGTGCACTGTAGTGGATTGTGTTGTGCGAGAGGTAATGTCACAGCTCCTTTCCGAGGTACCGTGGTGGTACTAAGGCACATGGTGACATGATGTGGGGCTGTGTCTTGTGGGTACAGTGGTACACCTCTGATCAGAGTAAAACTATTCGAATAGCCGTACCCGCGGTTATGGGCGGGTCGAGCAATGTCTTTCGTGATTAGTCCCACACTTCTCACCATAGTAAATGATGCTTTAATTGGTAATAATTTGTTTAATTCCTGGTTTGGAGAATAGATCTGTTCAGCCGGGTGTGGTTGTCAGAATGGTTGGGCCTATACAACAGGGTATGTTGTATAGTGTTGGTTTAATATTGTTTAATACTTAACTGTTTTATTAAATTCTCCAATGTTTGCTAAATGCTGCTTTTGCAAATGAGCCTATATTATGCCATCCTTTGGTATCCTTGTGCACTTGCATATTTGCTGCGTGACTTGCTGAGTATGTCATATACTCACCTTGCAATCATTCATCAGAGGAAGAGTTCTTCAATGAAGCTGATGGTGTGGAGGATTAGGTGTAGTCTTGGTCAAGCTGCCTGTGGAGTGGAGCCGTCTGCGCCGTTTATTTTACTTTCCGCTGCTTAGATCTTTATTGATTGAGAGGAACTATCTACCTCTGTAATAATATTTTATTCGCTATTAGAGTAATAATTGTACTCTATTATCAATTTGTTATTGTGTGCCTCGGTTGATTCCTGGACGAGGGTTCACACACATGTAAGCGTTTGGAATTTTGGATAGAAATTCCGGGCGTGACAAGTTGGTATCAGAGCCTCCTTGACCCTAGGTTATGCCAAATGGTTACCTATAGAAGCCCTCTAAAAATATTGGAAAAGTAGAACTGTTCTCCTCCCTTTCTCTTTTAATTAAACCAAACTAATGGCACATGCACTTCTTAATCTCTTTTAATGGTTCTCATTAAAAATTTATTCCAGTGTTATTAGTACTGTACATCTATTACTGTACTAATGGCTCATTTTACCAGCAAAAGTTTTACAATATTGTTTTATTTAATCTTGCTGCAATAAAATAAATTTAGCATGATGATTTTATAACTTTCTTTTATTTCTTTTAAAACCTGTTGTTCAAAAGTACAAAACTTGTGGCCTTGTTTCCAACTGTTTCAACTTATCTTGCAAGTTTGGTTTACTTTATTTAATTACCTTTTACCTTGATCTTCTAAACTTTATTCAAATTAATCCCAAAACTTGTGCTATTAATTGGATAAATGTCTTAACTCCCTCCTTTCACTTGTCTTTAGATGCCGCGCTACAAGCCTGAGTACTTGTTTGGTGTTGAGGGTTTTGTCCAGGAGTTGCGTACAATGTCCTTTGTCATTGGATTCGGGACTGCCCCTTTTTATGCCCAGATTCCTCATGATCGTCATGAAGAGAAGTGCCGAGTCAAAGTCACCTTGAACAGTAATAGTGAAGATATCCCCTCAGTGATGTTCGAAGCTGGAGGAAGAAACTACATCCATGCAAGTCAGGAGGTGGCAAGGATCGCCATAGGAGAGCTCCGCGATCGTTATAGTGATCAGTTGGCCGATACTGAGTATCGCTATCATCCTCGTCAACCCCAGGGAAGTGACCGTGGCAGTTACCTTGAGACTGAAGGAATTGAGAATGATGCTACCACAAGGCATTTGGTTGAGATGCTGTGGGCTATGGATGAAAGTCGTGCGGAGATTGTGTTGGCAGCTCAAGATCGTGAAGACCGGAATCGTGGTAAGATTTGCAAGCTAGAAGACAAAGTGGATCGTTTGGAGAAGGAACTAGCCGCATTGAAGGGAGAAGCGCCACCGCAGAAGGCCAGAATTCGTCTTACCGCAAGGAAGAGAGCTCTATTTGTCCCTCGCTATCAATTGGCGCCAAAGGTTCGTGTGGTGGAGAAAGAAGTTGCCCTAACTCAAGCAGATCCTCCGGTCATCATCATAAGTGATGATGAAGAAGAAGAATCCAAACGCAACCATTCCAAGATTGAGTGGGTAGCAACTCAAGATGATGAAGACGAGCCGAAAGAACCTTCAATCGACCTCCGATGCTCGGAAGAATTAGAGTGACTTGTTAAGTCGTTGTTTTAGATCGTTGTGTTAGTTTGCTTACTTTAAGTTGCTTGTGTGTGTCTCGCATGTGATTTACATCAGTGGTGGGATGTAAGTGCATGATTAGATGCTATAGATAGAGTTGAGCTTAGTGTATATCAAAGCTGTGACAACATTGTACATTTCATATCGTTCTCTGCTTTGCATTTTTTTTATATAAAAAGTGTCTACAAAAGAGTTATTAAGATATTGCAATTTACACTACAATATATGTAATTCTTGAACTTAGTTTGTTTGCATGTTCAGTGTAATATATAATGTGGAAAGATGCTATAATCTTTGGGTGATTGAACATGATTAGTGTGATATGATGTGGGAAACGTGCGTTGCACGTGCATGTTTACTAGTGATTTATTAAAGCTTTTGCTAATGTTTTCACATGCTTAACCACGGCGTATTCGTTGAATTTTTCCAGGAGAGAAATAACTAATTCTATCGGTGATTTTTTTCCAGGAGAGAAACAACTAATTCTATTGATTAGATGCCCCTAATTAATCACTGTGGTGGGGTCACTCCATACAGCCGTTGTTAAAAAATGTGTGGCATGGATGAGTGCAACGGCAGGAACCCCCTCCTCCCCCCCCCCCCCCCCCCGCCCCCCCCCCCGGCTCTCTCTCCCTTCACTCGGCTCCCAGATTCCCACGGCGGCGAACCACACATCTCCGTCCTCTCCCACGGCTGCGACCACCCCTCCTTTGCTCCGACGACCAGCGGCGCGGATCTGGCTGTACAGCACGACCTCGGATCCCACGGCGGCGACTCCCCCTCCTCTCTGTCCTCTCCGACGACGGCGCAAGGCGGTGCACCATCCCTCCTCTCCTCCCACCCCCACCGGCACGGATCGGGAGGCGGCGTGGCCGGCGAGCGCCGTCCGACTCGGATCGAGGGGCGACTCCCTCCCCCTTCCGGCCGGTAGCGCCACCCCCCTCCATCTATCCTCCTCGTCGGGGCGGCGGCTCGACGACGGCGAGGGGAGCGTTGCTTCGCTTCGGGGCACGGCCTCCCCAAGGCGGTTTGGCCCCTCTCCCGCAGAAGCCGAGACGGAAATAGACGCAACAGTCCGATTCGGATCGGAGCCGGGGGGAACCCGGTGCTATATATGCCCCACCACCGTCGACCGCCGCAGACCCAGGGTCGTCAAGTTTGAAGGCAACATGATGCAGCAAGACAGCAAGAGGAAGAGGTCCGTGCTGCCGGAGACGGCTACGTTGGCCCCGGGAAGCAAGAGGAGGAGGAGGAAATCTGTACCATCCCGTCATGCGGCCGCGATGCTACCTGACGAGTTGCTGACGGAGGTGTGCCTGCGGTTGCCCGTCAAATCCATCCTTCGCTTCCGGGCTGCCTGCCGCTCCTGGGACGCAATGCTGTCTTCCGAGGAATTTGGTCAACTCTACGCAGCGAGAGCCGAGGAGATGTCGTCAGCTCCTAAGCTGCTATTCGTCTCACCTACGGCAAATTTCAACTCCACCGCGGTGTACAAGTGCTCACCATCGAAGCCCACCGATGACCTGCTGCTCACGCTTGATGATGTTCGCGGAAACTATGTGGAGGTGACACCCGCACCATGCCATGGTCTCTCCCTCCTGTATGATGGTATTGCCCCAGCTTACTATGTTATGAATGCAACCACACGGGCAGTCACACGGTTGCCGCCTTTCCGAGATGTGGCTTTTGCCACTGCTGGTCTTGGGTGCGATGCCCGGACGAAGAAGTACAAGGTAGTGAGGCTTTTTGAAGGGAACTTGCTTGAGAAGGAATTTTTGAAGTGTGAGATATACACACTTGGGGGCGATGAAGGGGATATTTGGAGGCCTGCCGCTGGTGGAGTACCTTTCCGGTTCTACAGTTTTGCTCGTTCTGCTATTTCCAATGCGGTGATGAACAAACTGCAGCCACTTTTCTTCAATGGATATCTGCACTGGTTGATCAACCCATTGCATCACGTTAAACTACCAAGAGCTTCTATTTTATCATTTTCTCTCACTGATGAAACCTTCAGATGGATCCGATCACCACCCTTTGTGGCATCTGGAGTGCATTTGGTGGAGCTTGATGGTAATCTGTGTATGGTCCGAGACCTTCGTGATAGGTCAACTGCTGTTTGCAAGTTGGAAATTTGGAAGCTTAAGGACTATAACTCTGGTGATTGGTCTTTGGATCATCGAATTGATTTAACAGGGCAGTTGCCTAGGGATTTACTTGAGCCACAGATAGTGAAAGTTATCGGTTCCGCTGGTAGTTGCAGATCAGGTACGAAGATAATCATCGCCACATCCAAGCACAAAGTTTGTTCCTATGATCCTGTTTCTAGAACTCTGGAAACCATTACCTCAATCTCGGAGACCTGCACATCCTATCAAAATGAGAAATCTGATATTAGATTCAGTTTATTTAAAGAATGCCTTACCCCAGTGCATAAAACAAGGGAAGAGATTGCCTTCGCAACTCCCTTGTCTAAGGCTACTAAGGAGATCCTACTCCGACTCCCGGCTGAATCAGTCTTGAAGTTCAAACCAGTCTGTAAGCAATGGCTTGGGCTGATAAAGAGTGAAAGATTTATCCGTGCATACTTTGCACACAAGAACATGGACAAGAGGCCAAAAATCATGCTTGTGGGTAAGGGCTCTGGAAAATCACTTTTCAACTTTGTTCCCTTAAGTAAATGGCTTCAAGAGGCATCCAATCAAGGCACACTGTTTCTTGACACAAAGGTGGTTTGCTCCAAGCCTTGCCGTGGATTGAATTTGATGAGCTTCGTGGAGGAGGACTATCTGTTCAACCCGTGTACAGGTTACCACAGGGTCTACTGGAACAGAGAGTGGCATCAGCACCAACCATGGAAAATGCCTACGGGTTGCCGTGAACAAGAAGACAATCCTTTTGCAGTTGGCAATAAGAATGTTGGTTTGGGGTTCAGCCAGGTGATTCAGGATCATGTTGTTGTGGGGATTTTCTATGACCGGAAAGACTACAACTCTCGTGAGTATTCTTTAACATGTTCTCTATGGAGCTGTGGTTCTGGATACTTCGAGCAACTCCCGCAGCCACCTCTGCCTGTGAATGACATGCCACCTGTCTCTGTGGATGGAGTGCTGTACTGGATGAGCGAACCAAGGTTGGGTCAGAGTTATGAACGAGCCATTGTGTCTTTTGACATTGCCGCTAAGATATTTGAAGTCATCCCTTGCCCTTCAAGCATTGCAATGTGGGACCCCAGAAGTCGCTGCCATGCATTTGTGGTGGAGCTTCTAGGAAAGTTGTGTGCTGTTCTTTCAAATTCAGTTGCAGATGAGTTAGATATATGGAAGTGGGATCATGGTCTATGGACTAGAGCATACACAATCAATTTAAAATTCTGGCCAGATTACTCACTTGCAACGAATGTTGTAGTGCCTATGGCAGTTGACCTTACAGATGGAAGGATTCTGCTGAATACTGGGAGGAAGCTTGGTTTATATAATCCATTTGATCAAACAATTGAAAACTTGCTTGCACTTGATCAGGTGTCACTTGCCACACCTAAAGTGCAGCAACAGCGCACTGGAGGTCATCTTAAGTGCCACATTACCAGATGCGAAGATGTTCCTAGGAAGTTTTCTCCGTGGAAACTATCTATGGCTCCATGTGAGAACTTTGCTACACCTCCAAGTGCCTCATCAGGGAAGAATCTGTTGTCCTCCAGACACCAATATGTGAAGGCACTAAATAGTGTGAGCCCAAAGGTTATGCCTGTGGTTCCTATGTTGTATGAGGAGAGCCTAACTTATTATCCCTTTGCTGCCCGAGCGAGAGTGTTGTTTAGTTGAAGTGGTACCTTTGTCAAATCTACCATTTCATGTGTCAGATAGGTCCTCCATGTTTGGCCATACCATGTCACCAAGTTTTTATAATGTAATATTTTGATGTTTATGTCACGTAGCTGTCAGAATTATAGTTGTGTTGCATAATTTATTTGACTTGTATTTCAAGCACAACTTCTTTTGTAGCTTTCAGATCTTAAGCAGAAGGGTGATGGGTTTGAAAGCGCAACTACGGACTCAAATGAATGTTCTTTCCTTTTCTTTTCCCAATTTCTCACTTATGTGGCAACTTTTTTCTACACTGATCTAGATCCTCTGACTTTGGGTTGTAAAGTCACAGACGTACAGTTCTGCTCTATCCGCCGTTCGTTATCATCCGACGATCCAAAATCGTCCTTCCAATTCCTTTCTTCTTCCTCTGTTTCCTTGGCCCTGTTTCTGTGTAGCTTCACGGCTGGCCGCCATGGCTGTCACTCTTGGCCAACAAAGCACGCAATTTCTGCCGCTCAAAAGGTGTAGGCATGTTGAAAATTTTCTTTTAAGGCTACAGCTTCTGTCTTAGGCAGATTGCTGTTGCAACAAGAAAAATTGTATCCCATTATTGTTGAAGCTTCTCCCTTTGCACGATCTTACCCAGGGTATAAGACCACCGAATTTGAACATCACTTTCTCCCGTATGGGCATTTATTCCATTTGATGGACTCTCATCGGTACTTCCTCCGTTTCACAATATAAGTTATTCTAGCATTTCTCATATTCATATTGATGTTAATGAATCTAAATAAATATATATGTCTAGATTCATTAACATCAATATAAATGTGGGAAATACTAGAATGACTTAGATTGTGAAACGGTGGGAATACTTAACAAGCTGACATTTTGACGACGCACCTGGTATCGTCTCCCCATGTCATCAGCAAACTCTACTCGCGTGGACGGCTATCGTTCCGTGGATATGAGATGGATGATCTCTGTTCACGCAGTCACACCGCTCGATTCGGAGGCCAATAAGGTGGAGGCCGGTGTAGGGACGTGGGTCACGAGGCCGAAAGATTGCCCTGCAGCGAGCCCCTTTCCGTTTTCTGCATCGGCCATGATGCGATTGAAGTTTGCTGCAAGCCGACAATGGCAGCCGGCCATGAAGCTATGCAACGAAGGGAGCAAGGAACGGAGGAAGAAGAAAGATTTTAGAAGAATGATAATGGACAACGGAGAGGATCCGCTTTCTCTCTGTTTCTCCTAGATTCCTAGTTCCTCGTTTGCTACTACTCCCTCCATTTCATTATATTATTAAATCACTTTTTTAAGTAAAATTTTAATTTAACTTAGAAAAGTTTAACTAAGTTTATAGAAAAATATAGCAAAGTTTTTAACTCAAAAGAAATATATTATTAGAATATACTTAATGTTATATTTAATGAAACTAGTTTGGTAGTGTAGATGTTGTTAAATTTTTCATAAACTTATCAAAGCCAAAAGAAATTTAATTAGAAAAAAAATTAAAACGACTTATAATATAAAATAGAGGGACTAGCTTTTAGTTGCATGTATATTACTTTTCATGTGGTCACAAAGTTCTCAAATTTGTTTCCACGAATTTGTGTGATTCAGTCGCTAACGAAATAATGTTTGCAGTAGTGAAGATTAAGATTCGATACGCCTGTCTGCTCACTTTATGCGAAAATCAGGGGGATATGAAGCAACTCAAACGTACGACAATCGATTTTTAAAATTCATATATGAACTAGTGGTGCTTCAATATCTCTACTATCTTTACCTATCTTATCTTAATAATAATAATAATAATAATAATATATAACTAACTAAAAAATTACTATTTTCCAATAGTCACATCTTTGCTTCGTTCGTCATTGCTTTAGGACGTGTCGTCGACTCGTCGTTCGTATCGCTCACGGAATCCGATGTGCTTTGTGTATGTGTAGCCTGATTCTACCAGACTAGTGTGTCTCCAAGTTTCCAGGGTCCAAAGACTTGTGTTATCTCCAAGCTAGTAAGAAATATACTACTCCCCCCGCTCATAATATAAGGATTTTAAGTTTTTATTTATATTGTTTGATCACTCGTCTTATTTAAAATATTTGTGTAAATATAAAAATGAAAAGTTGTACTTAAAGTACTTTGGATAATAAAGTAAGTCACAAGAAAATAAATAATAACTCCAAAATTTTTTAAATAAGATGAGTGATCAAACAGTGCAAGTAAAAACTCAAAATCCCTTATATTATGGGATGGAGGGAGTACTAATGTATTCTACCAAACTTCCGTACGTGAGTATGTCTCCAAAGTCCAAAGACTACCACGTAAGAAATCTAATGTAATCAATCAAACAGAAATATTAGTAATTGATCACGGTCTTAATCCGATTTTGTTTCCAAGATTCCTACTTTTAATTTTTATATACACTACTACAAAATCGATTTTTCATACAGCCAAACTCCATTTTTGCAAGCGGTTGGGAAGCCTGCATGAAAGAAAAGAAAGGTATGCAAAAATCGGATTTTTCATATGAGTAGAGCAATCACATGCGAAAATCCGATTTTCGCATATGGACGCTTAAGTTATCTGACCATGAAAATGAAAAATCACAAAAATAAATTCTGAAAATCGATTCCCCAAACCCTAAACCTAAAACACTCATCGTCGTCGTCCTCATCATCGCCGTCGTCGTTGTGCGCGTGGGGAGCAACATCCGCGCTGGAGAGGGAGGGGCACCGGATCCACCCCTCCCATCGTTGCCGCTGCCGCCACCGTCGCTGGAGCCCGAGCCCTCATCCACCGCCATCCAAGTCTGAGCCCTTCCCTGCCGTCCCCCGTCGGATCGTCCACCACCGAACCCCACGTTGAGCTCCCCATCAATGGATCCACACCCGTCGCCCTCCCCACCGCCAGCCTCTTCCACCCTTCCACCCACATGCCACAGTCATCGTCGTTGCTACCGTTACCGAGCCCCAAGCCGCCAGATTTGCCGTTATTGAGCTCCCTGTCACCAGATCCGCACCTTCCGGCATTCCCACCGCTGGCCTCTCCCACCCTTCCACCTGCATGCCGCCGTTTTTGTCATCGATGTTGTCGTCGAGCATCACACCGCCGAGTTCCCTATCGTAGGATCCACACCTACGGCCCTCCCTACCACGGCCATTCCCACCTGTCGCTCCTGCTCTCATATACTATAAGATTTTTAGCAACAAAATTATATCCATATGAAAGTAAATTTAAATGCCAATCTAATGGTATATTTTTTAACAAATAAATTTTATTTCATATTGTACTAAATGTTGGTTAAATGTTGAATCTTGAAATACGCGCGCGTCTTATATTATGGGATGGAGGGAATAGTAGTTAACAACACATTGAAATAAAAAATGTTGACAACAAAATTAGAACAATCGAATTAAATATAGTGACATCAATTCAAAAATCAGGCATCATATAAATAAACAACCCCCAAAAAAAACCACATAAGTAAGAGAAATTTTTTTTAAAAAAATACAGATCCACCGCTGACCTACGCCTTCTTTGAGAAAGGAGGAAATGGCACGGGCGCCTACAAAAGGAGGAGGTAGTGCCCACGAGCATCAGGAGTGGAGGCTGGAGTAGGGAAGGAGACGACATCATTGTCACTGGCTTGGAGTAGTAGCGGCGGCTGGTGGTGGACGTTGCAGCCCTGTTGTTGGCACTGGAGTAGAGGAGGCATCGAGTGGCGGCTGGCTACGACGCGGCCCCGCTGCGGCGGTGGGTATTGGGCGCCAACACGAACGATGACCTCAAAAAAGCAAGACATGGGAGCGCCACATCAACCAAGAGGTGTGGATGGGATGAGAGTGGTAGCTACATGTTTGACTTGTCACTTCGTGTGGCCTCCATGGTAGTCTAGGGTTTACTTCGCACCCGGGCCTATTGGGCTAGATGAATTAGGGTGTGTTTAGATCCTAAAAACTTTTAGCTAAAAATATCACATCAAATATTTAGACACATGCATGGAGCATTAAATATGAACGAGAAAAACCAATTATACAGTTTGCATGTAAATTACGAGATGAATCTTTTGAGTCTAATTGCGCCATGATTTGATAATGTGATGCTACAGTAAACATTTGCTAATAACGGATTAATTATGCTTAATAAATTTGTCTCGCAGTTTACAGACAGAATCTATAATTTATTTTGTTATTAGTCTACGTTTAATATTTCAAATATTTATCCATACATATAAAAAAAATTTGGCCAAGAACTAAACACGGCCTTAATGCTTCTTGTTCTTCGTTGTGTCCAGTCATGACTGCATTAACTACCATTAATTCATCTACACAATTTAAATATGACTATTAATAAAAATACATTGATTATCAATAATAAAACCACTTCGGTAGAAATATAAGTCGGTATTGAGCTCAACGTAGCTGTCGTGCCAATTGAAATAATATGATATTTCTTGTATATGTATAATTAAATTTTTATTTATCCGATGCAATGTGCGGGAATTTAGCTAGTCTATTTCCTTTCGTCACATGGCTCTCTTCGGGGCTATTTGGATGACTTCCATAGCTTACCACAAAATATTTGGCAAAGTGTGGCATGCCACACATTATATGACTAAAAATTTGTTGGCCACAATTATGACAAGCTATGGCAAAAAAACCACCCAATGACAAGTGGGTCAGCTTGCTAAAAAATTATGGCATAACTCACTTGTGGCATGAACTAAATACTAGACTTAATTGGTCAAACTTAATTGCCACAACTTTAGCAAATGTTGGTACCCAACTAAACAGCCCTTTCGTCCGGTGTCCGATCGAGTGTCCCACTTGTGCACGCGCCCACCGCCCACGCGTCAGATTGGGAGAACGTTATGGCCGGGCGCGCACAGGAGGCCATGTCTCCAGAGCACAGACCCACGTAGAGCGATTCGAGATTACGGCGTACCCGTGCAGAAGTAGGAAGGAAACGCGGGATCGCATCTGCGTCAGTTCAGACCGGTCACAAACCACAGCTTTGCTACCCTTGAATCAAACACGCCAATAAAATCTCCCTGCCTTGCACGTATATCTGGAAAACTCAATTGGATATCCCCTCATTTTTATACGTCGCTTAAAAAATCATAAAAACAATTTGAAAACAATTAGTATGATAAATTAATATGTGATATGTCACTTTACAAACATGCAAATTCAAATTCCACTTATATAAGTAGAAACAAAAACAATAAATTTTACTTTGAATAGAACACGTAATTCACGGTCAAATTTGTTTTTTTTTCAAATTGTGTAAGTTGAATTTTAATTCGCATGTTTGCAAAAAAGATATATCATATATTGTTCTATTTTGATATTTTTTTTAATTTTTTTTGATAACTTTTTGAACAACAGAGACACAGCAACGAGGGGATGCCCTCCTCGAGGGAAAAAAAATCCACTTCCGATATATCGGCCTCCTGGGACAAGATTCTTGGAGCATCTCCAGGCTCAAGTGCCACCCTCGCAGCGCGTACTTCTCTTTCCCCTCCGGTGCTTTGATCAGCAGCTGCCGTAGCGCCAGTGTGCCAGCAGCAAATCGCGGCAGCCCGGCCCGGTCGGTCGTGCCTCGTGAAGTTCCCTGCTCTTCACCATGCCGCCATGCCGGCAGTGTTTGAGTCGAGTCGAACCTCGGGGACGGAATACTCCAGCTCAGAGCCCTGCGTCGCCCCGCACTAGCCGTCGCCTCAGCCCGTCAACAGTTTGAGCTCGAGCCTCGAGGCTGTACCCATGGCGTCTCCGAGACTGGGTTGGGGGTGGTGATCGAGGTGAGCAGCGACGCCGACGCAGGGGATCGGGCGTGCAAACATGGCCGGGTCGGTGGAAGCCTCGGCCTGCGATGTGAAGGCTAACGATGACATGGTGTACAGTGGAGGGACACTGGAAGGCCAATGAGCAGAAGCAGAAAGACGAGGACACGAAAGATCAGAAGCGAGCGCATGTTCTTGAGGTTACTCTTGTTAGGTCAGACCGTCAGATAAAAAATGTGTTCTTGATTGTGTCGTGGTTTAGATCGTTGTTTGGATTGTTTGATAGTACCCAACCATAGTTGGTGATTCATATATATTATATATACCATAGGAAAACAAAACACATGAATGCACAAGTATAAAACAGAAGATTAGAAAATATGGGAAACTTTATGTAGATGAGTTGTTTGGAATACAAGAATTTTATTTAAACTAACAAGACAATAAGTTTCAGTTTATGGTTTTATAAACTTATTGACCTCATTTTCCCTTTACTTTAATTTGTTTTCCTTTCATTTGTTTGGTACTAGAATATAATAGAATACAGAAACACAGGAGTTGTTTTCAAAGGAATTCGAGGGTCCATTCCTTTCTTTTGTTTTGTACTAGAATACTAATAGAATACAGAAACATAGAAGTTGCTTCCAAAGAAATTCTAGGGTCCATTCCTCCATTCCGAACAGCCTTATAGGAAAAAAAAAATATACTATGGTCCTCAGTTCTATTGATTTTTCTTTGGAAATCCTCCATCCCAAACATGCCCTTAATTATTGATCTGAAAATGTTTTGTCATTGTTTTCTTTCCTAGCTGTTTCCTCGATCAAATTATTTGATGTTTATTTTGATTTTAAATTTTCCCCGTTGCATTGCATGGACATCCTTTCTAGTATCTCTATCTCTATTTTTTTAATCTTTACCTATTATATAAAATTTCAAGGTGTTTTTGCCTATAAATTTCGTACGTCGCCCAACTCATTGCCCACATATAAGCATATTTTTCTGTCCGATTTCCTTTTTCACCGCGCGTGTGTACGTCGTACCTGTTATTTTTTCTTCGTCCGATTCTCTTCCCACGATTTCCAAATCGCGTGGCGTCTAGGCCCATGTCGGCCCTTGTCCAGATCCCTCACAAAACCTACGAGTCCGCCGTCTCCTCGCTTGCCCGCCTCATCGGAGCCTCCGTAGAAAACAAATTAGAGACCTGTTGAAACCTCTGGATTGTCGACGTGTGGATAAATAACTCTTCCAACGGCTTCCCGATCGGCTCCAGGCGAACGTGTTGTTCCGCTTGAACCCTGCCTCCCTCGTCTTGCTCAGCTCCTACTCTCCTAGGGCTCGGAGAAGCGATTCCACTCTGCCTGCGCTTGGTTCGTCGCGTTGCGGCTGATGGAGTGATGGTGAACGAGGGTTCTATTCACTTTGATGTCATTTTAAACAATACTATTTTTTTAAGTAAATTTGACAAGAATATACATATGTTTAGTTTCTTACCAAATTTTGGAAAATATACCAGAAATTTGGTAACTACACAGTAATGACCAAAATTTAGTAGCATGTACGTTGGCAACAAAGTAAGCACATCCAAAATAGCTATCTTACCAAAATTTGATAATATTGCCAACCTTACTAAAATTTTGGTATTGCCAGAAATTGATAAGGTTTAAAATGACATTAAAGTGAACAGGGCCGAGAAGGCGGTGATGAAGCTCGCCACCCGCCGTTTTCTTCTTCCCAAGACTCACCAGCTGTCGATGCTGATCTAGATACTAGCTTCGTGAGGTTAATTAATCCATTCACCGTCGTGGGCCGACCGAGTCTCCCATAACACGAATTAAGTTTGCGGCAGCACCCAGCATTCCAGCATGCACTGCAGAGAATCAGTCTTAGAGGCAAAATGAATGGCAAATAGAACCAGGAGCACGGCAGCCGCTGATACCCTCATCTCTGGTCGCCATGAAGCGTCATTGATGCTCTTAGCCTCTTACCATGCATGCTCGTCCTCGGTGGCCAGCCACTTGCCGAGCCTTCCGATCTCCTCCACCCTCCTCCAGTACTGCTCTGCGGATGTTCTATTTAGTTCACATCAAAATTAAAAGTTTGATTGAAATTGGAATGTTGTGATGGAAAGATTAGAAATTTGTGTGTATAGTAAAGTTTCGATGTGATGAAAAAGTTGTAAGTTTGAAAAAAAAGTTAGGAACTAAGGATACATTAGTCCCAGGACTAGGACTAAAGTTTAGCCCCAAGACTAAAACATTAGTCCTTTTTAGTCATAGCCTGTTTGGTTGAAGGGACTAAATAGTACTAAAATGGTAGCCCGCACCAGATCCTCCATGGCCTGAGGCAGCTAGCGTGGGGTAGCGGCGTGAGCTTGCGCACGGCGGCGGAGGCGGCGGCTGCGGGAGCTCGCGCGCGACGGCGTCGGTGGGAGCTCGAGCGCGACGGAGGCGGCAGGCCGCGTGAGCTCGCGGCTTAGGTGGCAGGCCGCGTGAGCTCGCGGCGTCGGCGGCGGCCGCGGGAGCTCGCGCGCGGCGGCGTTGGCAGCGGCGTGAGCTTGCGCCTTGCGCCGGATGGGGAGAGCGGAGTAGTCGAGTAGTACAGGAGAGAGAATGAAGTGAGAGAGAGAGAGAGTGAAGTGAGAGCGAGAGCAACAGGATAGGGTTGGGATCGCTTTTCTATAGGTTTTTAGCCTATGCTGTTTTAGTCTGTTTAAGTCCCTCCCGTTTGGTAGTTTAGAGGCTAAAAGGGACTTATCATAAGTCCCTCCAACCAAACACCACCTGATCCAGGCCTAGTTGCCGCTGCCGCATCCTCCTGTCCCGGCCACCACAGGTGCGTCATCCACCTTTCCGGGCGCAGCTAGCGAAGGTGCGCGTGGTGGGGTAGAGGGAGAGGTAATAGGTTATGAGAGAGCGAAGTATTTGGTAGTGGGGCGGCGCTGGCTGCTTGTCATAATGTCATGGCCTGACACTAGGATCTTGTCGATCGGTGTGGTTCAGTTTGCTGTAAGAGCAGGTACAATAGCGCTATTAGCCAGCTATAAACATATTTTAATAAGATAAATGATAAAAGCAAGTATAATAGTAGGTTATAAGTCAGCTATAAATATATTTAATGAGATAAATGATAAGAGCAAGTATAATAGTAGGCTATAAGCTTACGTGGAGGAAAGAGAATTTGAAAAATGAAGAGGGTTGACTCTCATGCAAGAGCTATCTATTCACATACTTCAAGATAAATACATTAAATGTATATGTGAGAGATAGAGAGAGGAGGAGAAAAAAAAGATAACCTTACAGCTCATTTACTATACATGTTAACTCTAATATAAGCTATAAGCTCATAGTTGGCTCTATTATTAAACTTACTCTAAGAGCACCCGCAATGATAAAGTAAGGTGCTCTCTATAAAACATGTACATCTCAGCAATAGACTAGATTAATAGTAAACCACCTCAATAGTATGTCTACATGGGTATCTATAGCTCTCTAATGCATTGCCTCGTTTTTCTCTATAGACTATCTCCAGGTTAGTAGATAGCTTTGTGCTCTCTCTCTCTCTCTCTCTTCATTTAATCTCTTCCAAGTAGGAAAATATGCTGACATGGATATCTTGTAGAGAGCCTATAGATAACCATTGCGGGTGCCCTAAGAGAGAAGAGCAGCGGGCTACAGATCTGTAGCCAGCTGCAGCACGGACTCTAAGACACACTGTGTGTATGATAGGTGGGACCATATATTAATAGTTTAGTAAGCAACCATTGTATGATTTGGCTATTAAAGCAAGTTTAATAGTATAGCCAACTACTAGCTCCAATTCATATATAGCCAATCTAGTAGCTCATTTATACAATAGTTACATACTCCCTCCATTTCATAATATAAGGCACGACCACTTTTTTTCAGATATTCCATAATATAAGGCATGCATGCATATAGGCCATTAACTATGACCCTTTCTTCATTAAATTATTACTTTTTTAAATCCTCCACTCTTATGTTCTCTAATTCTATTGGATGCATGCATTGTATTTATTAGGATGATTAACTACAAGATGATAATAATTATTTTCTTGGTCTTTGGGTTAGAGTTGGTTATGCCTTATATTTTGGAATGGAGGGAGTACTAAACTATTAATACCTGGTACCACATGTCATACACACACTGCGTCTTGGAGTCCGTGCTACAGCTTGTAAATCTGTAGGCCGCTGCTCTTCTCTCTCCTCATTTATCTCCTTAAAATATATTTGCAGTTGACTTGTCTGCTATTGTATCTGCTCTTAGATTTTCTATGATGACGCTCTCTCTCGTGGCCCGATCTTCTGGTGAGGGGATAACTCTTGCTTTGATCGAGTGTGACGTTTGCGACGTGGCTACCAACCAGAACAAGTCCAGGATGCCGTGCAATCGCTACACCACAAACGATGTCGTACCAACCGTGACGCGCGGTTGATGATCCCTGCAATGCAAACGAGAGAACACTGCAAGAACAAGATAAGATGCAATCTAAATATTGCGAATAGGTAATTAAGCACAAAGGAATAGTTGCGATTGAGGTGGCTCTGAATCAACACACCAACTATTGGGGGCTCTGAATCTATAGTCGTCGACTAATCGAGCGAGGACTAGAGACAAGGTGAATGGCACTTGGCAAAATTCAACTAAACAAAACCCAATTGTTTTTGACGATGTACAAAGCTATTTATAGGGGAAAATAAAGCTAGGGTTAAGTGCTAATTCATGGAGGTGGAGGGAGACACTTCCGAGATGGGCCTAGTCTATTACAAGGCCCAAGGCCTAAGTTCGGTTTCAACAACAGCACTGTCTTATTTTGGCAATTCCCGTTGACTCGAGATGAATTTGGACATGACACCGGATGCATTTGAAAGGTAGCGAGATAAACTTTCTATGAAGTCCAAGACCACCTAAATCGGAGTTGGCATGAAGGCGCTAGGTCCGTTTGAAGTAAGTGCTGTCTCCGGAGGATTTGTTTAATCTGTTTGTGCATAATTTTTGTTAGTTACAGACCGGTAGGTGCTATATGTATGTGTGGATGGATGGATCCAAGCTAGCAAGCAAGCCATTTGACGGAATTGTTGTGAAAAATACTTTCACCGGTGGACATCTGATTCTGGAACATCAGAAAGGCATTATTCCCAGTGTTTAGAGTTTAGACCTGGTAATTCGTTTGAGCTGAATTTTCATTTTTTTTCCCTATACAAACATTAGTATTGTACCCGTGCTTTGCTTTGCAATCTCAAAACTCAAATATATAATATATACAACTATTCTGAGTTAAAAAAATAACTATAATCTACTCTAAATTAGGTCAGAAGGTATTAGTTTGTGACTAGGGTTGTGTTTAGTTCCACACCAAAATTAAAAGTTTGAAGAAGTTGAAACGATGTGGTGGAAAAGCTGGAAGTTTGTGTGTGTAGGAAAGTTCGATGTGACGGAAAAGTTAGAAGTTTAAAGAAAAAAGATGGAATCTAAACAGGGCCTAAATTATAGTGACTGCAAACACACGCATGGCCTAAAATTTGTGACGCCATGGTGATGCCTGTTTCTGGACGTGATGCAAGAATGCGTGGAAATCGAAGTTGATGAAAAAACCATTGTTGTGGAAGACGGAATATGCTTTTCGGACGAAAAGGGTACCGTTCACTGATTAATCATAATACAAGATTAATAAGAACTATGTGGAAATTTTATGTTGGCAAATATGACGTTGCCAAGTACGTACTTTGGACATTTAAATGGTTACAACAATATAAATTGAATATATTAATGTTATCTTTTAATTGAATACTTATAATTAACATCAACTTAAAATATAGTTTCCAACAGTCAATTCAAACAGCAAACAATGGTATGTTTGGTTATATTCAATAAGTAAAACATAACAGAATATAAGAAATACTAAACAAAGTCCAAAAACAACTTTGGATCGTCATCAAATACACATGCCACGAACAATTAAACGGAAGATGGTGGATTAATTGCTAAAATTAAAATTTTAATGTTCATGAAAAATAAATGTTGAGCGTACCACGATAATAAACGGTTTTGTTACTGCGGACATATATATGTACATCCGTTTAATCGGTCAGTACGACTGTTCTCCACAACCCTGCCAAAAATATGTGCTATTCTTCCTAAGATTCGCATGGACTCGTACCACTCTTTTAAGTTCCTATCACATCGAATGTTTGGACACTAATTATAAATATTAAACATAGAGTATTAATAAAACCCATCTATAATTTTAGACTGATTCGCGAGACGAATCTATCGAGCCTAATTAAGCCATGATTAGCCTATGTGATGCTACAGTAAACATTCTCTAATTTTGGATTAATTAGGCTTAAAAAATTTGTTTCGCAAATTAGTTTTTATTTATGTAATTAGTTTTGTAAGTAGTTTATATTTAATATTCTAAATTAGTGTCTAAATACAGAGATTAAAGGTAAGTCCATAGATCCAAACACCACCTCACACTGTCACACAACTACTCAATTAATTTTAACAGCTGCAGCTAGAGGCGACAAGTGAGGGCCCTGGCAGGATTCGGTAGAAGTCTGCCAAAGAGAAATCAGTGGCTCATGAAAAGAGAGATTGAAGCAGAGCTAAGCTAGGGCAGTTGGTGTGAAGTGAGATAAATTAATCCAATCATCCCTTTAAGATCAAAAGGAACACGCGATTTCTCATTGTTCGGCGAATTATTGTTGGGAAATGGTTATCAGCGGTTTTCAACCTCTCTTTCTCACAGCATGAACAAAACAACTTAATAGAGCAGAAAACCCATACACAAATCTATATTCATTTTAAAGACTATAATTATGATGGTGAATCTACCATCACCCGCCACAGATATAGTATCATCGTCCTTCATTCACTTTCACACTGACCAATCAATTGCCACACCTAGCTCTTTCACCTAGCTCCCGACGCCCTGATCCGTGCAGCTTGGAAGATCCACCGCGATGCTGGGAACATACCAGGACTTGTCATTGTCGATCTGCGCCATTGCTTGCTACTCCATCACCATGGGAAAATCCACCCATCACCCTAGGCAGATCTGCCATCGAGGCTGCGCTAGAGAGCTTGTCGATGTGCCGCCTCGATCTACACCATGTTGTCTCAATGTGCACCTATGCTGCCTTGATCCACACCATTTGGAGGTCCACCGGTCTACGGTGCCCTGATTCTCACTACCCATAGCTCTGTCGGCCCCTATCACGCTGATCAGTGAGGAGGGGAGCTCGAGACCACCACCGTGAATGTCTCCGAGTATGAGCGCCCCACACGACTAGCTAGAGTAGCTTCTCTTGCTCGTTCTTGGTGGCGCCGCCAGAGAGAGGGTGTTTGGAGAGAATTTAAATTCAAATCTCTCCGCCCAGGGAAGTAAAATAAAATAATATGTGCGGACGTGCCAGTGTACTAAGTAAAAAAAATAAAATGGACGAAGGAAAATGCATTTTATTATAATTCTCAAAGAATTACAAAAAATACAAAATCCTTAGTCAAATGCGCTCCATAGCCTATAGGCAAGGTGGATCTGACTTGGCGATTATGTGGTCCTAGTTTTCGGGGTCTCGGAAAACACCCGGTTAGTTACTCTCACGGGTTGAACCCGCGAGACACCTCCGATTAAGCTGTGCTAGTCGTCGTC